CACAAGAGCATGGGCTCTGCTGTGCCCTAGTGCCACCCTGCACATGAGTGCACAGTGCCACAGTGCACATGGTGGGGAGTGGCCCCTGGTAATGCCTGTGGGAAATAGCCATGGAAAGACACAGTGTAAGAGGTAGTGACAGGGTGGGGATGTTGCCCCTCGCACTACGGAAAATTCCCTCCTCATTCTCTGTATCCAAGCCAAAATGTTCCTCTGCCCTCCCCATGCCTCCCCAGCTGATGCAGATAGTGATAACAGAAGTTTTGTGCCTCACCATCGGATCCTGGGGCTCTCTGGGGACCAGGCATGCCCTTCCAGCCACAGCCACTGCTCATCACAACCAATTCCCAGGGATGCCTTCCCTCTTCCCCAGTCACCCATCCCACTGGGACCCCCACAGACCAGTCCCATCTCTCTCCACCAACTCCAGCACAGCCCTCATCATCTCAGCAACATTCCACAAAGCACCAGGCATTTCTTAGAAACATCATCATTTATTGACTGGAACAGCTGCCACTACAGCAGCAGTTTCCTGCTCAGATGTTGGTACGGTTTTTCCTTTTATATTTTCTCCTAAGGTACTTTAAAATGGAAAAAAATTTAAATGAGTTTATGGTACTGAAACAACAGTCAAATTCGTTACAAGAGGACCCTCTTTGTAATCCCTTTGCAGCTAACGGCAGAGGCTGGAGTAAGGGAGGCTGCACCCGTGACACAGAGGAAAACCACAGGGCATTGCTGCCCAGCTGTGTACCAGCCCCGTGCCTTCCCAGGGCTGGCTTTCAGGCACAAGGACTGCTTGCCCATCCCTGGGGTCACCCCCAGGCCCTGCACAGCAGCCTGCAGCCATCAACCTCCTTGGCCAGGGACACAGCCTTGCCCACTGCAACCCGCGATGAGGCTCCGCTTGCTCCGCACCAGACCAAAGACAAGGGCAGCTGCTGGCCGGACTGGAGTTTCCTGGCTCCCACTGTGGGGCTGGCCCTGGGCATGTGCTGTTTGCTTGTTTAGGGCAGGCCCATGTGGCCTGCAGCACCCTGGCACAACAGGCCCTTTCACTCCAGATGGTGGTTGGGTTTGTCTTTGGGATGCTTCACTTAAAGCTGAGAGGACAGAAAATTCAGTAGGCAGGAGAAACACAAAGTGACTAACATAATGCTAAAGCAGCAGCTTCAAGCTGGGTTAATATTTACTGCTGAGACTGGAGGAGTTGAGAACAGTGTGTGGCTCAGCTGTTTGAGAGATGCAGTGGAAATCATGCGTTACATGCCGACAGTGAGAGCTCTGAAACACTGGGAAAGGGTAACAAGCGTCTACAAGCCAAAAACGTGTACAGCAAGAGCTGGAATCCCACTGCCATCCCTGATGGCCGGAGGAGTCAAACCACTTACAGAGAAACTCACGCCAAGCAGAAGGTGAACTGAATGTTGGAAGCCACAGTGACAGCCTGGCTAACATGGGGAGGGGGGAGTATGTAACCCAGCAGCAGAGGCTTAAGGGCAGTGACCCCATGGGCAGCAGGATTTGGATCGTTTTATCTCCTGCAGGGCCCAGCACATCCCTTCTTTCTCCACAGTGAATGTAACAAATGCCAAAAACCGTTCACAGGACACTGTTCAAATGAAAATCAAATGAAACACATCATGGGAAAAGAAGAAACATGCAGCATCCCTAAATGTAATGGGAGTGGCATGACAGCAGAGGTGGGCAGTCCAATTTGAGTGCGCCACCCAGGCAGAATCCTTCAGCTTTTTGAACCGTCTGCAAAACTGAAAACAAGGGTCTCCTCCTAATTAGTGTTAATTTGTTAAAAGTTTCCAAATACTTTCAAAATGTGCCTTTGCAAGAATCACACCCCCCAACCCATCACCCCAAGGGCCCCAACAACAGAATCCATTCCTGATCACTGCTAGAGTCACGGTTTGTCTTCAGAGATGCTTTGCTTTATCCTTCTTATTCTTCTTCCTCTTCCTCCTCTTCTTCCTCCTCTTCCTCTTCTTCATCATCATCTTCATCATGGCAATGTGTGATTTCCTGAGGTGCCTGGGGGAAGAGGTTGGGCGGTTTGATCTCACTGATGGAACGGGTCAGTTGGTGTCGCTTGTAGTCAGAATCTTTAAAATCCACTGAGCTGCGATTGCGTGTGGCCATCGGCGACTCCTTCTCATTGATGTCAACGTGCGTGTGCTCTACTGTAGACTCGTGTGGCATCTGCACACGGAAGAGAGAGAGGAGATGGCAAGGAGTGTCCCAGTCTCAGGGTACCTCCCTGAGACACATGGAGAGCAAACCCCAGAACGCAACCCTTTGGCCTATGTGTATTAAACGCTACCCAACCCTCCAAGGAGCTGCTGTGCCTTGTGAAAGTGTTAATGGACACAAGCACGGGCACCTTTGGGACCCCTGACCACCTCCCTGGGATCTGCAACTCACCAGGACGTGGGCGGCTCTGAAGAGGTAGCTGAAGGGGTAGTAGAGGAGGTTGATGAAAGAAGCTGCATAGAGATCAGCGTAGCGCATCACCTGGCTGGCAAACAAGGTCTGCCGAGAGCCACTGCGGAAGAGGCTCCCCATCATCCCGTAGCACATATCCATGTCGTGGGTCACTTTCTATAAGGAAAGGGCAGGTGAGATCCTGGGCCAGGCAGGAAGCACCTCAGAGCCACAACACCACTGAGGCAGAGCACCCTGAGGGGTGAGGGACCTGCAAGGATCTCCAGCAAGGCTTTCTGTGCTCGTATCTGTGGCATCAGAGCACAGCTAAGCCCCAGCTAACAGGAGGGAAGGTGGTAGTGAGCTCAGGGCTGGCACCTGCCCTAGGCTGGCACCCAGGGCTGGCTGAACCACAGGGGTGTGCCAGTGCCACCTGCTGCAGCAGTGAGCACCATCAGTCAGTGCTGTTGTGGGCATGAGGAAGGGGAACCTATTCCAGACCAGGCTGCCTTTTAGGAGGGCCAGTGACACCAGTGAGCTGAGACAGAGTGGCTTTGCAAAGCCTGCTGTGCCCACCCAAAGGCAGAGCAAAGCATTTCGGGGCTGAGCAGTGGGGTTGGGTTGTCAAGCCCTTTGGGATCCAGAAGGACAAAAAGGAATTTTGATGATTGGTACCTTAATGCGTCTCTGGATGGAGCTGATGTCGGGGCGTTCATTGCTGCTACTGTCCAGATGCCTAGTTACAGGCGAGAAGGTAAATACAAGGTGTGAAAAGTCTTTCAGAACCAGATGCTTGAGAGGGGGCACAGGGGAGGGAGACTGGTCTGGAGGGGAAGGTTGGTCTCGTGGGCAGAGCCCAGGCCTGAGTGAAGGCTCTGGCAGCAGTGCCACTACCCAACCCCAGGGTTTGTCAGTGCCGCTCGTGAGCTGGGAGAGGCAGCAGCAAAGCTGTCATCGTTTGAACACTCACTTGTATAGCTCGGCCAAGAAAATGTCCAGACTCTGCAGCTCTTCAAAAAGGGCTGGAAAATCCAGAAGAGAAAGGGGGAAAAGGTAAATTTAAACTGTTGAAGAGGACTGAAAGCAAACCCACCACCCTGTACGGTGGCAGAGGGACGCCGCAGCAGGGAGCATGGCATCCCACGGCCACTGGCCAGGGAGAGGGGTCACCGGCACAACTTTGGGCTTGGTTTCTGCTTGGCCCTTTTGTTTTTGAGGCTGAACTTTCGCAGGCCTCACCAAAACCAGCCATGGGGCAACTTGGATAACCCCCAGCCCTACTTACACACCGAAGGGCAAACCTGGGAGGAAAGCAGTAGTGCTGGAGGATAGGAAACACACAGCACTTTGGCAGCAGAGCAGCAGAGGGAGTGGGAGGAACAAGGAAGAAGTGGCTGGTGAGCAGGGACTCCCTGGAGATGGGAGAGCAGTCATGGCTCAGGTATTACAAGGAGAAAAACTTGTCAGATATTTTTTTACCAGAGAAGCCACAGCTCCATGCAGGCAGAGGGGGAGGAGTTTCTAGGGCAAGGAATAACTCAACCCCACCCAACTGCAGCTTCTCCCACGGTCAGGTCTTGGCTGATCACATGCAAGGGGCCTGGGAAAGAGCACAGGAAGGGCCTGGGACCCTGAGACCAGCCCACTGAGAGCCACCCCAGCTCCTGCCACCAGCACCCAGACCTAGGGAAAAGGGCTGAAAGGAGAAATGGCAAGCCAGGGTGACCTGTTCCCTGCACCCCTAAGCCCTGGCGATCTCAGGGGTGCAGCACCAGGCAAGCAAAGCCTGGCCTGGGGTTTGCCCAGCTGCTGACCGCTTTTGTCTGTCCAGACATGCAGCTCCTGTGCCAGCTCAGGGATCACCAGGAAGGTTCGCCAGCCCTGGCGCTTCTTAGATTTGAGGATGTCTCCAAAGATATGGTCTCCGATGTACAAGATATCCTTCCCTTTGGCCCCCAGCAGGTCACAGACTGTGTCTGAAGAGCCTGAGAGAAGAATGTCATGGGTCAGAACAAGGAGGCAAAAGAAAATGTGGCACCTGTCAGAGGGCCCAGGTTAGGGACAGAGCAGGTGCATTTTCTTCCCAGAAACCTCCACTGCTAAACACAGCAGGGATGCTATGCCTGGCCATGGCAGCACTGGGCACTTCTCACCCACCTGGGACTACACCCAGGAGCAGCTTTACCCAAGAACACCCCTACATGAATGGGAGCAGCAGGGGGCCCAAGCTGCCTCTCCCCACATAGGACAGTAATGGAGCCCTGGGTGTCACACACAGTGCTGTAAATCCTCCTCCTGCCCCCCCCGGCTTGGGGGCAGTGCTCACATTGGTGGCTGCACCATAAGTACAGCTGAGGACGTTGCACTGGGCCAGCTGCAGCAACCCCTGCACCACAAGTCTTGCAGTGGCATTTCCTGAAACCTCCCTGGCAAGGAAGAAGAGGGTTTGAACAGGTCCACTTCTTCCCTGCATTGGGCAGCTCTGATGATGGAGACCTTCTGCTGCAGTGTGCAGAGGACACACTACACTGCAATTTGGGAAGCACAACCTTGCCTGGCACGAGTCCTCTCACAGCTGGAGTGGCTGAAGGCCACATCAGAGCCACTGCACAGAACAAGAACTCACCTCCTGAGTACACAATGCCGTGCTGCAGTGGGCCAGTGTAGGTACCAATCTTCAGCTTCCCGGTCACCTGAGAAAGGAGACATTGTGTTAGTACTGAAGAGCTGATGGTCTGGATCTTTTTTGTCCTCTTGGTATTTTTGTCTGTCTCTCACTCCCAAGCAGTCCAGAGGTGGCTTTCCATATTCTTTTCCTGTTGTCACCTGTGGTAAGTTAGGGAAGCCAGCAAAGCTCTGCTGCACCCAGGTGATAAGGTTGCTCAGAAAGCAGACTCCAGCCCACCATCTCTAGGGCAGGTCCTGTCTAAACACTGCATTGCCCATTGCCACTGAGAGATGCCATACAGGAGGTGCAGGAGCCCTTCCAGACATGGAGGCACCCTGCACTGACCACTGACCGTGTCCACCTGCCGCAGGACGGTGCCTTCCCCAAAGAAGAGAGGTTTTCGTGCATCCACCAGGATCAGGTCAAAGTAGGACTGCCATGGCCGATGGGCACTCCCAGGCTGCCAAGGCAAAAACAAACCTCAGAATCAGGCACAGCACAAGTGACCACAGGGAGTTTAACTGAAGTGTCATTGTACATAGCCATAACCTTGTGGCACTGGTTGATCAAAATCTCTTAGCTCGTGCCTCTTGTGGTGCAATGCTGAGTTGCCAGCACCATGTCCTAAAGCATTCCCTGTTTGCTGCAAGCCCATCCCAATCCACCCAAGCAGTGAGGCCTGAGGATATGGTGTGAGACAGGAGAACAGCAATGAACATCTGTGTCACAGCACAGCTGATGTGTAAAGAGATGCTGTAAATGACACCACTGACACTGTGCTGAAGGTGACATCCCATGTAGCTCCAGACATGTGCAACTTCACAGCTTCAGCCTTACAAGGCCATGTTGGTACTTTCACTGGGGTGGGAAAATGCCTGGACTGTATTGCACAGAGCCCAGCCCTGAGTTACAGCCCTGCCCAAAGCATACTGGGCATTCATCAGCCCTTTCTGCTCCATGACAGAGACCTGAGTTACAGCCCTGCCCAGGCATTCATCAGCCCTTTCTGCTCCATGTTTCTGAGATCAAGACCACAGTTAGGAGCTTTTTTTAGCTATCAGTTGTGGTGAGTTTCTGTGTTCTCAGAATTTCTCCCTTGGCCACCTTCCACCCTTAGGGCACAGTGTGAAAATGAGTGTAAGATAGCCTCTCACTGGGAGACTGAAACCTGAGTTACAGCCCTGCCCAGGCATTCATCAGCCCTTTCTGCTCCATGTTTCTGAGATCAAGACCACAGTTAGGAGCTTTTTTTAGCTATCAGTTGTGGTGAGTTTCTGTGTTCTCAGAATTTCTCCCTTGGCCACCTTCCACCCTTAGGGCACAGTGTGAAAATGAGTGTAAGATAGCCTCTCACTGGGAGACTGAAAGAGCAATACAAATTCATCTCACAAGCCACACTCCAGAAGTTGCAGGGCTGAGTTTTGACCTTAGAACAACAGAAAACACATGACCAAAGCTTCTGGAGTTACCATAGTCAAGGCACAATCAGCTGTAAGTGTTTCTGCTGGTTTATAAAACTATTTCCTTTCGATCAAGGCTTTTTTTTAAACAACATTGACAACATTGTGCATTATTTCTAAGAAACCTGGCTGCAAAATGCCACAGTTAAAACGTTTTATCACTAAAATAATGTTATCATTAACACAGATTATCACTTGAGACCAGATGATGCCTCTTTTCTCTTCGTTGTATTGTATTTGCTTTGATCCCATTCAAACAGGACACCAACCAGCAAGTGTATTTTAACCAGATTAAAGCAACTAATCCCATGCAGCTGATGAAGCAGGATTAAAATGCTTTCCAGCTACACAGATAATTAGGCACATCAGTTTCTACTGCAACTGCAGGCTAGGACTCACATACCTTTGGTCCATGTGGAAAGTCAAACAAGTAAGTCATAATTTTCTGAAAGAGACAAAGAAAGTATTCAAATAAGTGCCTTTAAACATACATTTGTGCAGTTTATAAAAGTATACTTTTCTGATTTCATCTTTTCAGATTACAGAACTTTGTTTTCAGAATTTACACAGAAGTCAGCGTAAGATTTGGAGACAAGATGAATGGAGCAGGACAGTGACAGGAATTAAACCACTGATTTTTTTAATCAAATAACACAGCTGCCTCAGAAACCTGCACACTGCTTCAGCTGTAACTTGCAGTGCTTTAAGATGGCATATAAATATTTAGATTAGCAGTGTTGCAACATTCTGACAGTGGTAAGTGTTTATTTCTCAGCCTTGGAGACAGCTCTTCCTGGCTCTTAGACCTCTCCGGGGCCATGGCTTTGGTGACCTGTCTGCACTCACACTATCTCACTTGAAAGGGAAGTTGTGCATTTTAAAGGATGCTGAAATCCAAAATGAGTATCACTTTGCCTTTCAGCCTTTTATTTGCTGAGGAACCGAGTGAGGCAAAGAAGGACTTAAACCAGGCTCATATTAAGTCAGTACCAGAACCAGGACTACAAAAGATGACTCAAGACTTAATCTGCATCCACCACTAAACCATCCTAAACCTAGGTTAGAAAACACACGATTCTCCACCAGGTGTCCCACCAAAACCCATACAAATGAATGGCTGGAGTTTGCTTATTCCATGATAAACCAACACAACAATTCCAGCAGCACTTACATCTGTGTATTTATAATCACTGTTTGTGACAAGAAACACCTTCCCCACTTCGTTCATGCGGCTGAGCAGCAGTGGCAGCTTCCCCTGAAACCCAAGGGATGTACAAGTCACACACAAAAGTTACAGACACTCTCAACTATGATCCCAGCAGACAAAACAAAGCAAATCAAACCATCGAGCAAGCGAACTCACGTGTTTTGTACTGGCCAGAGCCAGGAAAGCTGCTGGTCCATCCACGTAACCCCTCCAGAGCACAGCCCAGGGGAGGAAGGCGAGGGGAAGGGCTCAGCAGGGCTGGGGTGCCTCTGCCAACCACAGTGCCAGGCACCCCGTGCTGCTCCCACCGATCTGCTCCAGCTCCAAGTCCGTTCCCGAAATGGGCCCAGAGGCAGGTGGAATCTGAGCTCACACGAGCCACAAGTTGGAACGCATTATAATTCCAACCTCAAATTAGGGAGAATTTATTCCTGGGGCTATTTTTATTGAATCAGAAACCTCAGTCCATTGCCAGAATAGCTGATTACCTCACAGAACGGTTTCCTAAGAATTCTGTAGGCATGTAACTAGAAACAAGGTTAACTGCTTTAAAGTGATACTCTACGACAGAGCTCATCTAAACTAAACAATAATTAGACTGTCAGTGGTCCAGAGGGGCCTTGCACACTGCAGAGGGGGCAGAAGTAAGGGAACCATTTGAGCTTGCTCAAGTGGATGTGCTGAACACACATTTTGGGGCTATCAAGAGACTGGACACTGGTGAGTCTCTCAGGATCTTTCCCTTGCTCCCTCATGGTTAAGTGTGTGTAATGTTTGTGTTGGCTTCTGTCTAAAAAGATGCTCAACTGTTGCTCTTTAAAAGAGGTCTGCTTGGGCAGAGAAACCTGGGCAGGGAACACAACTGCTTTCGCCACCAAAAGAAACAACACAGCCCTTACCAGCATATTCACCTGTGCCCCATGATAACATTTCCACTGGCTTTCAAATTTTACATAAAAACATGCACATCAATACAAAATCACGTGGATCACTGGCTCAGAATAAACACTGCGTCCGAACTTTCCACTTTATCTTTGGTTATTACGATAGAAATCACAGTGTTATCTGTTCTGTGATTTAGTAAAGCAAATCAGCATGTTTATTTCTTGCCTTCTTACTCAGAACAGAATGCCACATAGCATGAGTAAAGTAACTTCACACTTACATCTTTCACCACGTACTTCTCCAGATTCTCAAGGGTCTTTTCCTTGAGTGATCCCTGAAACAGAAAGAACGGAACCCAGTGAGGTAATGGAAACTTACGATGTAAGAGACATCAAAGTAATGCCAACTTTCACACTTTAAAACGCTGTGAAAGTACAAACCAGGGCGAATCTGAACCAGTGACTCTAGAGATGAGAGGCTTTGAGTAGCAGGGACCATCACAAACTCTGTGATCCATCGATTCCCTCACCATGGTAAATAATCCACTTCAACAGCATTTTAACCCTTTCAGAAGGGAATACAATAGAAACAAACAAAAAATAGATTTGCCATACCAAACAAGACAGTTAACGACCTGTCTCCAACACTGACCATAATGCTTTAGTCAAAGGCCAACTCCAGCATATATCACACAACACTGCATAAGGAAAGAAAAATATATTCCTGACTTCTGCATGGCTGAAAGTACCACCACAAGTACAACTGTGAGCAGAGTTCTCCTGTGCTGGTTCTCCATCCCACCCCAACAGATCTCTTGAATGAGAGAGAACAAGAAAACCAGGTCTTTAACCAGATGTTAATGCTCACAAAATTATATTCTATATTTGTGCACAACTGGGTGAAGAAGATGAACTGACTCTCCTCTCTAAATAGAGAATAGCTGACATATTTCTCTCTTTAATGCAGGTACTTTTCAGACAACATAAGAAAGTACCAATGTAAACAATTTGCAGTAGAATACTGCTTTAATAATTAGGACAATGTACAAGTTGTGGACTTGAAGTGCAAACACCCTCCAGGCATCATGCTCTAAACCCCACGAATCACAGTAGAGGAAGCCAAGCCAGATACGTTCCCATACTAGGAGAGCAGTTGAGATCTTGACTTACTCACATACAACTGCAATTTATTATTTGCTCCCTGGGAGGCAAAGCAGGGCTCTTGCCCAGAAGAGGCAGAGCACATCTTAACTCAAGAGTTACAAACCAGCCCCTCTAACCCAGTTACAACTGCAAACAGCCCAAGAAGTTCTTGCCATCACCTTGTAATGAACCCAGTCAACAGCATCTCTGACATCCTGGAACATACTCCTGAAGGACATGAAGAGGTCTCCATCTTTAAATCCTGTTTCACAGCTGTGAGGAGACAGAAGAGAGATTTTAGCAGCCAATTTCAGTAGGTAAGAAACATATTGAAGAGAGAGACAGTTTAAAAAGCTGTTTGGAGCTTGTGTTTTCATCTTACCATAACCGTTTCTCATCTACTACTATACCACAGCTGAGACTTGAAAGAAGGCTATGACCAGAGTTTACCACCACCTGTGTGTTACCCAAGAATGCTTTTTTAAAATTCTAGGAAGTGAGTTCCTAACTACAGGCCTGTGCCTCCACAGCTTTCTGTGACTGCAACTCTTATTTCTTACTGACAGTAGTACAAGAAGGAAAAAGTCTGGGACGGTGCAGTTGGCAGCATTTTACAAAAGGTGAATGGTACTGAGGGAGTAGGCAGAGTGCTGCTCTTTCTCCCTCTTTCCAACACTAAAGAAGGGGGTGCCATGAAAATCAACTAAATGTAATGCTGTTGAGAGGAGGAACTACTTCTGCATTGAACAGTTAGAGCCAACATGAGAAATTACAAAATACTGTGGAGGTGTCTTTGAGACACCTGTGAGAGCTTTCACCAGAAGAAATCAAGAAGGATTACACAGAGCTGTATTTATTATGACAGCAATCAGCATGCCTGTCCTCAGAGAGGATACTTCATCTGATGGATTGTCAGCACAAACAGTTCCTCTGCTCCCAGCAAAATCCCATTAAACCTCTGCCTTGCACTCACGTAATATTTGAAGATGACCCATTGCATGAGTCAGCAGCACAGTAGCATTCACATTTGCTAGTTCAAACTGCAGCTTGTTTTTATGCTTATACCTTTTTGAAAGGTAGGTAAGTACTCATGCTGCACAAAAAGCCTCTTGCACCACCCTGTGCCTGAGCATTTCACCCTTAAGTGTGCAGTGAACTCTACTACAACATGAGGGACTTGCGGTTAACTGTCTGAAGAAATTCAGCCTCTCAGTTACCAGACATGGCTCCCATGGACACAGGTTCAAAATGACCTGAATGGTGCCTGTAAACACCCTGTACAAATTGTGCAGTCTTAGAAGCTGCCCCAAAACCAGTGTCAGTCAGTATGGTGATATTGATGTACCCCGTGAAGGAAAACCTCATAACAGCCTCTGCTGCACACACAGAGTAACTTGTCACCACTATATTATAGGAGGTCTGAACTTTTCCCCACCAAAACCCCTTAAGGGGCCTCCACTGACATTAAGAACAGCTCCATCTGTGCTGTATTGATAAAATATAATATAATAACAATCCTACTGTTCCATCAGCACCTCGAAGCAGAGGGAACATGTACCTCGTGTACCGGTCACAGTTAGTAAAGAAATCCACTAGGCACGCCAACAGGTAGGTCTCTGCAAGGAAACAGAGCAAGATTTTAACATGAGGATAACATGATAAGGCCAGCTAACTTTAGGCCCTGTGGCCAAAAGAAGAAAGTTCATGGAAAAAGCAACCCCAAACAGATGAGCAGAGCAGGACATTAGCAAAGCTTTACTGCCTTAAAAGGAACAGAAAGAGGCCTGTGCTGGCTCACATTAGACTCACCTGGTAGATTGAATAGCGTGTTCAGAATGTAAAACCTATCTGTATCATCCCTCTGGATAAATTTATTTGGATATTGATCCCGTGTTTCAGGCCTGAGAATAGATAAAGTGGAGAAGAATGAAACCACAAAACATACTGGAGGATAAAACGTGCTGACCTGCAAAATATAGTTGTAGCAGGATCCACTAACTAGAGCCTGTTGTGCTTTAATCAACACTCAGCTTTCCCACAGGCACTATCAATGCAAGAGCAAAAGTGCATCCACTGATGTTCCCTTGGCTGACTCCAGCAGAGCCAGGACAAAGCCCTCACCACTGAGTCAGCAGAGCCCACACTGTGGCACAGAGTGGTCAAGAGTCCACAGAGCGACCTCAAGCTCCACACTGCTGGCTACAAGGATGCTTTAAATCATCTGCACTTTCATTGTTTGCTTATCTTAAACACACCCCCACTTTCCATGTGTTGCTTTCCACTCCCCCAGCAGCTTTCAGCCAGGGAGTGCAGGGCTCTGCTGTGGGAGGCTTGCTCAGGGCCCCCTGCAATTAATCAGCAGGGTGGCAATGACTAAAGTCATTTCATTATTCTGGTTTCCTTAATTTCTGCAGCTTCTGAAGATCACTTTAGGCTCAAAGAGGAACTTGAGTGCATATATAAGGGCTTTTTCTAAATTTTAGAGTCCTGATGCAAGGACTTAAGAGGCCTACAATGACAAAGTTTGTCGCCTTGGAGGCCCTGAGATCGCCTTGCCTTCCATCCCTGTGCCCTTGCAGCAGGGATACAGGAGGAGAGATTTGCTAGGACATATCAGACCTGTGGCACTGCAGTCCTCTCTGCTTCCTAAAGCACCTTCTCTGGGATAAGAGAGACACAAGCAGCCAGGGAAGGCTGCAGAAGATGGCATGCAATGCTCAGTTCTGACGCCCTCCAAGGTCGGAAACACAGACGTGTCAAGCAAGCTTATTCCTTCCCTAAGCCAGCTCAGGCCCTCAGATTTTGTTAGCACTGGCTGTGGAGTTGACAGCCTCGTGGGGCACAGGTCCTCTCTGCTGCAGGCAGCCCTCATGCAATGGTTCTGACTTAATTGATAAGCTGCTGATGTTAAACTGTGCCAGGACAGGTGAACGCGTCCCAGATTATCCCATCAACCTCTCCCCACAGCACATGACATTCTATTCCCAGCACACTACAGATGTGTCTGTGCTCACACAGACCCCTCCCTTGCAAATGCCTGGGCTGCTGCTGTGCCTGAGACACTCTATGCATCCCCAGTTAATCTTGGAGCTGCAGGAACACCAATAGAGCATCTGCTGTTAGTGGACTCCCTGTGACTCCTTATACAATGGGTGCCCTAAGGATCAGTGACACAAAAGAGTGTAATAAGTCAAAAAGAACAGCCAAAAGCTGGCACTCACCCTCTAAGGAAATTAAAGCCATGTGCACACACTAGGAGGTTCCCATAGGCATCAACTTTCAGCAGGTTTCCATAGTGGGTATCAAACACCAGGCCTCTGTTAAGAAAGCAATTTCAAGATATGAAGAAGCAAGTGTACTAAGGGGTCACAGCAGCTAGAACAGCTCTAGAATAGCTTGCTCACTTGGCATGGGGCATCAGAACAGAGTTGCTGTTGTTATGCAGATGGAGTCCCTACTGTCTCTTTTACCTGGCGGTAGGTGAGCAACAAGAGCTCTGCCTTACCAGGTGAAAGAGACAGCTGATCTGCTCTCCACAGACGTGAAAGTGGAACCGTTTAACCCAACAGAGGCTTAGCTATGCATGTACCAGGGAAGTTGTCAGCCTCTCCCACAGGGTCACAAACCTGACACCTGTGTTTGTGGTTCCCTGACATCCCTGCTGGGCTGCAAGGAAGAGCAAGGTGTGATAAAGGAATTTCCTCTTTTTCATTTCTCCATCACAGACAGAGCCAGATGGGGCATGTAACTATGGCACAAAATGCTTTGGACATTCCCGGTTCCAACTCCAGCAAAACTCTGTCTCACTTATCTAGCAGCTTGCATCTGGAGAACACAGCCTTCCCACAGACCTATCCCTTCTGTGCCCTCCCTGGGATGAAGGCAGTGGGTTTAATGGAGTCTTCATCACAGGTTTGTGATGTGTTGTGGGCAAGGGCACAGCCAGCAGCAGTCTCAGTGTAAAACACGCTGAGAGGAGGGAAGGGAGGCTGCCAGACCGAAACTGGGACAGCAAGCCAAAAGACCCTCTCGTCCAGTCTTTTGTAAAGAAGCTCCAAAGGAGTCAAAAAAGTAAAATCCAGCAAAGACACAAGTGGAAAGAACTTAAAGGTGCATTAACTGGGTGCAAAGTTACTAAATCAAAAAGTTACTAAATCAAATGCTTTTGACATTTGATTAATATAGATAACTGAACTAGATTGGTCCCACTTTTATTGTCGTTTACTGTCAGCTTAATTTTCAGGATGTCTTACATACCAGAAGACTACTAATTAAAGAAAAATGTTCTGAGACATCCTGGCAGCCTCTTGGACAGAAACGACTCCTTCTCCCCTTGAGTTTGATTTCACTCCCAATCCAGTTGTGCTCTGCTGTCTTTGCTACAAAAGGTTATTTTTGGACCATGTTTTCTGTAGGGTTCTTTTCTTGCACACTCCCTCTTTGCCGGCATGGATTCATGTGTGCAAAGGCTCTCCACATACTGGAGCAGTCTGCTCCCTTCCCCACAATCTGTGATCAGTCATAGGCTGAAATTCTGAAAACCTGGCCTCGTGTCACCTATGAACTTTACAGAACAAGTATTCAAGGCCTTGAGCAGGCTGGGTTGGTATCTGTTAGTCATTTACCTGGTAGGGAATGCAGGATCATACACAAAATTGAGCAGCTCATGAGGGTATCCAATGGAAACTAATCTTTCTACGGTCAGGTCAAATCCAAGAGATTCGTATTCAGGGGATTTATACACTGTACCAAGATGAGATTTCAGTTAGAATATTTGAAAACAGCTAGGGGGTTAAACAAGAAGGCAATTAAAAGTAATGTACCCATTTGCCCTCCTCCCTCCACATCACACATTCCCTCCTTCGCTCCTGCCCTTAGCTGTCTCAGTTCCCCCAGCATAGAGCAGCACTGGAATTAGCTCTTGCCCCAGGGCCGCAGCAAGGCAGAGATGCAGTTTGAATTTCAGCAGCAGAGTGCACCAGATGAAATATCCATCAGTTTATCACAGCAATCTGCATCAGGAAAAATGTACTTCAACCAGCAGCTCCTCTCCCTGCAGTCCTGTTAGGCAGATGCATGAATGCTCCCGGTTCCACCTGCTCCAATTGGGTTTTGGTTTGCTATGTTTTTGCAAAGCTCATGAAGAAACCAATAAACTGCAGGAACACATGTATTGGAGGTTAGAAAGCCTGAAATCCATCACTGCTGTGCTACTGTTACTGCTCTGGATACAATCCCAAAGCCTAGTATCTTTCCAGATTTCATCTCTGGGGAATTTTGTGTTTGCTGCAGACTAAGTTAGCTTGAAGGTAGAGCTGTCAAGTTAACATACGATTTGTTTGTTAATAACACCATATGGTACTGCAAAAAATCTGTTAGCTATTACCCTTGTGCATCAAAATGCTACTCTTTTAAGCAAGCTCACTGCTCTCACGTGTCAGAGGAGCTGCTCATCTGTGACACACACCTTCGCTCAGTGCAAAGGAAATGGACCTGTTCAACCAAGTCATTCCTACCATCCATCCTGTCTTCTTCCTGCAAATGACCTTCCCATGTACTGGAAATGTTACTGTTTAATCAGATCATTAAATTAACATCTAAAAGGAAATCACAACAGATGGAAATCACTATGTTTCTCTGACAGTGTTTACACTCGCTGCATGTCTGTAGAAGCCTAGAAGATAAGGGGCTAATGTGCATGTCTCAAACACCAAGAGGTGGATAGTCATGGAGTCAACCAAGGATTGCTGGTAATAACCAAGGATTGTTGGTAATAACACACTGTGAGACAGAACAGGATGTGACTGGAGAAGGGGCCATAGAGAGGAAGGACAGCACTTTTCTGGGACAAACGTCCTTGTTCTGGCTCCTAGAGATAAGCACAACACAGCACAAGGGCAAGAATGAGGCCTAGAAGCAGGCATAGACCCCCCCCAAGACCCCTGAAGCCTTCCAACCCATTTCCAGAGATGTCCAGAAAAATGGACTGCACATGATAACTAATTTGCATAAAGAGAGAGAAACTTATCTCCAGGGTGGGGAAATTTATCTATACAAAGGTACACCCACAAAGCCCAGGTGTGCAGGCACACCAGGACACCCCATCAGCTGGATCAGCGCTGGAGCCAGGACTGGTGATCTCTTTTTCTCCCTTTTTCCCTTTCTCTCTCCCACTCTTTAACTCATCTCTCTCTCCCCTTTCACCCTACCCCTTTATCCAAAACCCACTGGTGTGTGCTCATACAGGCAGTCAGGGATTAACATCAATTTCCATGCCAAGTATGTAATTTACCAATAAACGTCTGTAAGCTTTTGCAGACCTTTGACTTTTGTTGTTTCTTTTGACCACAAGCATCTACAAACCTTGGGTGCTCCCTTCCCCTTAAGGGTGCAACACCACGATGTCACTGTCTTAAACTGGTAATAAAATAAATACAATCCTTGACTGCAGTGAGGATTACACAGGTTCAATGGACCCAACTGTCTCAAACACTAGAGTATTTCAAAGCTAGCTGAGTAAAACACAAAAATGTGCAAGTTACACTGTAAACTCATTAGAAGGCAGACTGCTTTTCCTGAGAGAGATCTAGCACATCTGTGGGCCTCACAATACATATCAATATACATCATCTTTACTGCCCAGGTCATCACCAGCAAATATATATACATAATGTGAGATACAGAAGTTCAGTCTGAGAGGAGAAAACAAATACATAAAATACTAACAAAAATATTAAAAAGGCAAGGACTATAGACAAAATGAGACTGTCAAAAGACTCAGATCATAGTAAGCATGACAGAGGGTTCCTGTATCTCTTAATAATCTAAAAAGCACCAGAATCCTTAGAGTTAATTTTCCCTATTAAACTAACAGCATTTAAAACATAATAAGCAAACCTGTAATGGTTTTAAACAGATAACTAAAATCAATAAAGCAGTTATCAAAATCTTCAAGCTATATTATACCAATGGCAAACATCACCAACATGATACAACATTCAATGCACGTAGACTTTTCTGTCCTTTAGGAAAGGAAGGGTTGATTGAGCTATAGATAGGAATAAGCAATCAAAAACACAGCTAATGAAGAAAGCAGTGACTGACAAGGCAATTTTGGGGAGTGAGCTAGAGTTGGAGGGAGCAATAAGCAGTTAGGTGATGAACAAAATTGTGAGAGTGACACCACAGTATCTTCTGGAAAAAGGAATTCCTCTGATACAGAACAGTAAAGGCACTTCGCAGGGGAAACAGTTATAAATACACCTGCACATACTCTCAGAAGGTGAAAGCACTGCAAATCTTCCCATTATGTGAAGCAGACTCCAGTCCCCCACTCTGTCCATGAAACTGCTGCACTCCTCTGCATTAGCTTCCTGGGAATTTGACCATGTTATCGACTTAATCCACATAACCTCGCTCCCAAGCAAAACATTTCTCCAAGGAAACTCTACTCTTTCTGAGCTCACCAATCATGGTGATACTGTCCAGACACAAGAAACCTCATGGAGCATGTTGGCATCTCCTCTGGACAAGCAGAAATGGTTCATCAACAGCTCCAGCAGAACCTTTCCAGGGAAACTGTAGGTCTTTCTGATAAACAATCTGTGTATCTTATTAGCACTCTACCAGAGAGCAGCTGTAGCAGGACAGAGGTCAGCTGCTCAAAAAATGCCCTCACTCAATTTCCTCCTTTCTGTATTTGCCTCTCTGTCTTCAGTTAATCACTACAGACCTCCTTTTAACTCTCTAAGGAAACAAGTTGAAGCACCATTAGGAAAAAGGCTGAACAATAGGTATCAACCTCAGCCTTCATCATCCCAAATCTTTGTTGAGGCAGTACTGCAACAGGATTAATTTGTTTCTTTTTGGGGGACAGTTATTCCCCTCATCTCTCAAGCTCTAGATTTTGCTTCCTTGATGCCTCTTTGAATAAAACTAAACTATTAGCTCATTTATGACTCAGATCCCTTCTCTATTTTTCTAGTACTCCACAGTATCTGGAAAATGAGAGCCTTCTCCTTGACATGTGAACTAAACAGAGACACAGGTAACTTGACTCCTGAAAGGGACAATAAATGTTCTCTAGTGACCAGCATACTTACTGTTCAAGATAAACTTTCCTTTAATTAGACACACAGCTGGGAAGAGACTGAGAGCTCACCTAGCCCACCTTGACAGCACCCTACACCACAGCTGTTTGGAATGAGCCACAACCCCCTGACATTTCTTGTAAGCCTGTTTCAGTAACATGAGCTTCCTCCAGGCAAACAAACGATCCACCTCCTCCAGATCAAGTATGAACAGGTTAACACTGCTGCAACTGCAGCACATTTGGGGAAGATGCCCCAGTTACACGCACTACTAGGTGAAAAACTATTTCAATATTGTACTCAGGGCTGGTCATTCTCTCTCAGGTCTTGTTTACTTCATGCAACCATGAGGAAACAGTGTAGAGAGGAGAGATCAATATTTTTTTCAGCAGCTGCATGATGAAAAAATAGTCCTAAACTTAGCTGGAATATTCCCCTCCCTCAGACTTGGTTGCTGATTCCACAACTGGAGATAATTTGTGTGCCATGGCAATGCCATGAATTCAGCTATTTGCCATGCAGTGTCTCCTGTGCTCAGCTTTTTCACCCAGCTGAGAAGGGCCCAGTTTTCAAGCATCTCCAACTCTGTTGCAGGGGAAGAGGCAGAGCCACAAACCCATTTTCAGACCATCCTTTCTCAACACACATGGGATGACAGCAAAACCAAAGGGCATGCTACAACTTATTGATTTATTTTTCTTTTGCTTCCTGTTTGATGGCCATGTCTCTGCCACCATGCCAAGTCCCCAGCTCCAGAGGAAATGCTATTTTAATAGTCAGTGTTCCAACACAGGCAAATGCTTCAGCAGCACTGGGCGATTGGCACCCAGTGCTCATGGATTATGCAACCGGGGTGGAAAGAAAACAACCAAAGGTTTTATAAAAACAGAAGCCAGTTGACAGCATTTCAGCTTCCCCTTAATACCATCACTTGGCTTAACAATACACCATAGAAAGGTAAAAAGCAGTACCCCAGGAGTGAATGCTGCAAGCCTCCAGGTCTGTGATGAGTGCGGGCCATCCCTCACACAGGATGTGCTAGGAGGGAAGCTGATCTGGAATGAGCAGAGGTTGTGCAGTAAGGTATGCAATTCTCATGCATTTGTGTAGTTGTTTTTACCTTTGCTGCCAAGACACATACAGTAACAATTTTATAGCCCTCCTGAAAAGGAAAAAAAAAAAAGAAAAAAAAAGGAAAAAAAAAGCTCTCTACAGAGGCTCCAGCTTATGCAAAATGCTGCTGCCAGGATTTTAACTCACATGAGGCAGATGCAGATTCAGTGTGTCACTCCAGGCTTGACGGAGTTACACTGGGCTCCCCTGTTAAAGAAAAAAATCAGACTGATTTTAAAACTGCAACAGCTCTGTGCCATGTGGGACTGTGCCTGCTGGAGCTCTGTCCTCGGGTAAGCTCAGAAGTCAGCCTGGCAGTTATTCCAAATACACTTACAAGTGATTTATAGAAGAGGCACAGTTGGTAATCGTGGATCCTGCAGGCAAAATTCTGTCCTCATATCCACAGTCTTAGATCATCAGCTCAGGGATAATTAGGAGAAAGAGGCTACAATCACATGGCCCAAGTGACACAAACCCTTCGTGTTTCTCTCAGACACAGAGTAACTGGTTCAAGAAAAGGTCTTGTGCTCTTTTTGG